GGAACGGGGGGGGAGGGGGCGTGCGCGGGTTACCACGCGAGGACGAGCTGGCCTCTGGCAGGTTCACCGCCGCCAACCCCACCGGCGCGCCCGCCCCCCCGCCGGGGGGGATGGGTCTCAGGAGACCCGCGGCGGTCGCCGCGCGGGCGACCCGACCTAATCTTCGGGGATAGGTCTAAGAGGACGGGCGCCCGGCACCGATCGGGGAGAGCACTGGCGCCTTCCACTTCGCGCTCTTCCTTCCCTCCCATCGCCCCCCTGACCTCTTCACGGTCCTCCCCCCCGTCGCCGCTCCCGCCTCCCTCGGCTCCCCATCTGCTCACGCCTCCTTCCTCCTCGCGCCCTCCTCGCTCCTCTCCTCCCTCCTCTCTTCCCTCCTCCCTCCCCCTCCTCCCTCCTTTCTCCCTCTCCTCCCTCCCCCTTCCCCTGTCCTCCCTTGGGCCTCCCTTTGCTCCTGCTTGTGCTGCTGCTCGCCCTGCTCCTGGCAGAGCGGCTCCGTGCTGCTCCATGCCGTGCTCGTCCTGCACATCCTGGTCTCAGTGCTAGTCGTGCGCGCCCTGCGCGTATTGCTCCCGCTGCTGCTCCTGATCGAGGGTTTCTCCGAAGGGCTTAGGCGACCCGTCCTCCTCCTCCTCCTCCCTCCTCCTCCTCCCTCCTCCTCCCTCCTTCTCCTCCTCCTCCTCCTTTCCCTCCCCCTCCACTTCCTCCTCCTTCTCCTCGGGTCGCCTGCGGCCCCGGGGGAAACCGTGCAACTCCTGATCCTGCGTCTGCCTCCCATCCTCCCTCGAGAGGGGGCCGGGAGGGGGAAGACGCTGTGAGGAAGAATGGCCCCTTCCATCTAGAGAGGCCGACCTTGCCGCCACAAGAGTCCAGACCTGTTGATCCAAGAGGCTGGCATTCCTACCCCGAGAGGCCCCCCCTGAGCCCCCACGAGAAGCTCGGATCTCCTGGGGCTCTCAGTTTCTCGTCGCGCATAGGTTTCGGACTGTCCCGGGGCCCGAGAGGCCCGCAGAGGCCGAACAGTTGGGTAACCCGCCCGTCAGTAGTTAGTTCTCGGCGCTGGGAGGTCTGGGGAGGAGCCACGACAGGTTCATGCGGCGTTGGCACGCCAGCGACGCCGGCGAAGGCGTTCAAGGTTGAATTCTGCGACGCGGAAGCACCGATGAACACTGTAACGCTTCTGGACCCGACCGAATTCGACCTTGAACGATCGGAGCCGCGATCGGTGTCAAAGACCTCTGTGCGCGCCGACGACGCATGAGCCTTCCGTAGGTCAAGGAGTGCTTCTGACCATGCCGTCGCAGGATTCGGCGGCACGCACAAGCGGGGGCGGGGCAATGGAGGTCACATCTTCCGAGCGGCGAGCGGGGGGGGAAGCGAGAAGGGGCGGGCCTTCTCAGAAGGCTCGGAAGTCCCCAGGCCTTCTGAGAAATTTTCTAGGCCTTCCCCAAAGACAGAAGCAACTTCTCAGAAGGTCGGAGGGCTTCTGAGAAGTCCCGCCGCCCTTCTGAGAAGGCCTTCTCCTTTTCACTTCCCCCCCCTCGCTCGCCGCAAGCAGAAGGCACTGGCTCCGAGACTTCCAGCGAGGCCTTGTGCAGGGGCGGGGTGATTTCCTTGAGGCAGCGTGCCGCCGCGTCCGTTCAAGGATTAACGTTCAGTCGGACCTGTCCCTCTACAAGGGGGAATATTCAAAATAGTCCAAACATAGTTTTGGGACCATTTTTCTAGCATATTTGGATTAATGTTGCATACTTGTTTGACTGTTTTTCATCTTTCGTCATAACTCGCCATTGGGGGGACAGGCCCTACCTAAGATCAACGATCCGCCGCCGCGGGTTTAGGGTTTAGGGTTTAGGGTTCCAACCAGGAGACCCTAAACCCTAAATGGCGCCCCTAAACCCTAAATGCCGCCCCTAAACCCTAAACCCTAACCCCGAAACCCTAACCGCTAACCCAGAACGGGCCTTCATTGATGTCGGGGAGGCCGCAGCGGGAATCTGCCCAGTCGGTATTGAACTGGGTGGCCTCCCGTCCCATTTTTTTGCAGGGTATTATGGTTCTGGCCGCGCGCGCGCTTCCACGCAGTCCTGTGCCATCCTGGGCCCCTTCTGCACCGACGCCGCCACTGCTCGTCCCCAAAAGGCGCGGAGACGGCCCAAGAGGACCTCCAAAACAGCTCCAAGCGATGATGATGACCCACCGCGGGTCCCAATGTAAGAGCTGAGTTAGAACTCGCTTCGAGCTCTAACAGGAAATGTCTTACACCAAGGACGCACTGCACAACAAACGTTTCGCTCGAGACTTTCGCTCTGGGGACGCCGTGCGACCATTTCTTCCTCCTGCTTCAGGGGACCTCCTCCTCCTCGTCGTCCTCCTCCTCCTCCTCACTCTCCTCCTCCCAATCCTCCGGGGGCTTCCGAAAAACCCGAGACGATCCGATGCCCGCTCCGAGGCGGCCCAGGACCCCGAAACGTGCTCCAGAACCCACTGTGCGTCAAGATTTTCATGGACACAGATGCGCCGACTCGACGGCCCTCGGCGCTCCGGAGAGCACGTGGAGCTCGCCCGTGGGAGACCCCAAAAGGCCCTGAGCCCACCCCGAGGCGCACAGGAGGTAAGAGAAGGAGGCGCGTGCGAGTAGAAAGGAGTGGAGGATGACGCTCGGCCTGATCGGTAGTTAGTCGCACTATGGCCCAGCGGTTGTCTGCGAGCTCGGTAGCATGGGCGCTGGACTTGATGTGTTTTTGCTCAAGTGCCCACCACATTGTCTACGCGCGCCTCCTTGGGACCTTCTCGGTCTCATTGCATTATTCTTCGCTTCTCGCATAGCGATGTTCTCGCCGACCGCGCGCTGCTCGTGGGCGTTCGCCACTCTGGACGACCCCGAGCGCGAGCTCGTCGGGTCTGTGGTCGAGAAGGCGCTTCCTCCTCCCTTTTCTCCGTGTCCTCCCTTGCCGTCCCCTCCTCCCCCACCTCCCCGGCCCCTCCTCATATTCCTCTTCCAAGCGTTCCTGCCCCAGCTGAGGCTTCCGCCAAATCTCCAGCGCCAGCCGGAGCTGAGGCGGAGGCGTGGTGGCAGCGGGAGCGCGCGCGCATATCGCGCGCCCGCCCCGCGCCTGCGGCAACAGGCGCCAAGTGGTTTCGCATGGAGGACTTTACTCATCCTCCTCCTCTCCCCATCATCTTTCCCCCGCCCCCTTCTCGCCCTTTCACTCCCTAGCCTATCCCTCCGCCGCCCCTCCCCCTTGCCGTTTTCATTATCCAGGCCTTTCCTTCCCTGTGATTACGGTCGGCATCGCCTTCCACTTGTCCTCTGCCCTCCCCCTTCCAACTCCTCCTTTGCCCCTCTCCGTCTTCCTCTTCTGGCAACCCTTCTCTCTCTAGGGGGGCAGTCCCAATTTCTTTCCCCTCGTTGCATCCCGTCCTACGCCTGCTCCTCTTTGCAAGGGCGAGAGCGCGGACGAGAGCGCGGACGACTTTCAGATCCTTGTAAAGACGATCTCGGGCAGGACCGCCACGACGGACGCATCGACCAGCGACGCCATCGAGGACGTCAAGCAGAAGCTCGAGGTCGAAACTCGTGCCCGCAGAAAGTCAGGCCCTGACTTTCGAGGGCAAGCAGCTGGGAGACAAGTTCACGGTGGGGTACTGCAGCATCCAGCAGGGCGACGCGCTGCGCCAGACGGCGCTGCTGCTCGGAGGCGGACGCGGTGGACAGGGCCGCGGCGCCCCTCCGCCTGGCGCTCCAGCGGGCCAATCGGGCCGCAAGGGACGCGGCGAGAATCCGCGGACCTTCAACCGCGACGCTGCCTACTCGGACCGGGGGAGGGGGCCCAGAGCGCGCCCAACGGATGCTACAATCGAAGGGGTGCGTTGTAGCATCCGTTGGGGGCCGTTTTGAACCCTCCTGGGGCCACCCAGGGAGTCTCCCAGAGCACCTCCGAGACCCTCGAGGGATCCCCTGAGAGGTCCCCAAGAGGGGGCCCAGAGCGCGCCCAGCGGATGCTACGAACGAGGGGTGCGTTGTAGCGTCCGTTGGGGGCCCGGAGACGCCCCAGACCCACCTCCGGGTGGCCCGGGGGCGCACCTGACCCGCCTCCGGGTGACCCGAAGGCGCTCCTGACCCGCCTCCGGGTGGCCCGGAGACGCCCTAGACCCGCCTCTGGGTGACCCGGAGGCGCTCCGGACCGCTCCAGACCCGCCTCCGGGTCACCGCGCTCCAAACCCGCCTTCGGGTGACCCGGGGGCGCCTATCGTGAACCCTTGCAGGACTGGGTCGTGTGCGCTTTCATCGGGCTCACCGACGCTCGCGGCTATAATGGTGCAGAGGAGCGGGCGAGTTTGGACTTCGGCTTCTGTCTGCGCCTATACTATACAAACAAGAGGAGCGAGCGGCTCGGGCGCCGCCGGGCTCCGGGGGGAGGGGGCGCTGCGGCGGGCGGCGGGCGGCGGGCGGCGGCGGGCGGCGTGCGTGTGTAGCGGTTAGGGTTTAGGGTTTGGGGCTTGGGATGCGCGCAGCGATTAGGGTTTAGGGTTTGGCCGTTAGTGTGTAGTGGTTAGGGTTTAGGGTTTAGCGGTTTAGGGTTTCTGGGTTAGGGTTTAGGGTTTAGCGGTTAGGGTTTAGGGTAGGGTCTACTAGGCGTGGCCACGAGTAGACCTGGGCCGCGAACCCACCTGCGGCGGCCGTCACTCCCACCCGCACGCCACCCCGCCATAAAGATCATTTCTCCCCTCGGTACAACCGCGGCGAGTGCAACGTCGACGACGACGACGACGACGGCGACGGATGTGCGATCCAGGTGGCGCGCGAGTGCTCTAACGGGCGAGAGATTCTGCACGCGCGCGCAGGAAACGCGAGGTTGTCCAGGAGATGGAGCCGGTGTACATGAGGGGGTCGCAGTTTCTATTGTAAAATACATGGGATTCTGCACGCATGCTCAGGATGGAGCATGCGCAGGATCAGGACATGCTATTTTTTGCAGTAGATGGAGCGGGTTTACATAACGGGGTCGCAACGGGGACCGCCCACTTTTTGCTGTAACAAGTAAGTGATTCTGCACGCATGCGCAGGACATGATTTTTAAATGATTTTTTTGGCATAGGATGGAGGCGGATCGCGACGGGGACTGGGCACTTTGTGCTGTAAAAAATAGGAGATTCTGCACGCATGCTCAGGACATGCCATTTTTTGCGGTAGATGGAGCGGGTTTGCATACGGGCTTGTTTTGTGGCAATTAGGGTTTAATAATTATAGGATTAAGAATTTACGGCTTAGGGGCGCCATTTAGGGTTTATGGGGCGCCATTTAGGGTTTAGGGTCTCCTGGTTGGAACCCTAAACCCTAAACCCTAAACCCGCGGCGGCGGTGCGGCGCTGCCATGCGAACGCAGCCACTGGGGCCTTCGGTGGAGCTCCCTGTGGGGCCACGAAACGTGTGAGGGGTGTGCCGAAATGGGTGCGGCGCCGCCATGCGAACGCAGCCACTGGGGCCTAGGTGGAGCTCCCTATGGGGCCACGAAACGTGTGAGGGGTGTGCCGGTGCGGCGCCGCCATGCGAACGCAGCCACTGGGGCCTTCGGTGGAGCTCCCTATGGGGCCACGAAACGTGTGAGGGGTGTGCCGAAATGGGTGCGGCGCCGCCATGCGAACGCAGCCACTGGGGCCTTCGGTGGAGCTCCCTATGGGGCCACGAAACGTGTGAGGGGTGTGCCGAAATGGGTGCGGCGCCGCCATGCGAACGCAGCCACTGGGGCCTTCGGTGGAGCTCCCTATGGGGCCACGAAAGCCGTGTGAGGGGTGTGCCACGAAATGTGCGGCGCCGCCATGCGAACGCAGCCACTGGGGCCTTCGGTGGAGCTCCCTATGGGGCCACGAAACGTGTGAGGGGTGTGCCGAAATGGGTGCGGCGCCGCCATGCGAACGCAGCCACTGGGGCCTTCGGTGGAGCTCCCTATGGGGCCACGAAACGTGTGAGGGGTGTGCCGAAATGGGTGCGGCGCCGCCATGCGACGCAGCCACTGGGGCCTTCGGTGGAGCTCCCTATGGGGCCACGAAACGTGTGAGGGGTGTGCCGAAATGGGTGCGGCGCCGCCATGCGAACGCAGCCACTGGGGCCTTCGGTGGAGCTCCCTATGGGGCCACGAAAGCGTGTGAGGGGTGTGCCGTGATAGTGGGAGGAGGGAGGAGGGAGGGAGGGGGCAGCGGGAGGAAGGAAGGAAGGAAGGAGTGAACGCGGGGCGCTGTCTCTTCAAAACGAGGACCCAACACCACAGGATGGTTGGGAAATAGTTGAACAATAGTCAGGGGCCGATTTTCCGAGTATTTTCTGGCAAGTTTTTTTAACATTTTTTTTTTTTTTTATATTTCGCCCCAAATGTGCCTGCAGGGGGACCTGCCCGACCTAAGTCTATCGCCGTTAGGGTCCCGATAGCGAATCCCTCCCAGGAACTTTCGGATTCGCTGTCGGCGGCCTCTCCGATCTGTCGGCGATGTATCGCCGATGCTAGCTCGGTGCTTCTCCCTCCCCCTGAGCCGGTCCCCCCCCAACGTTGCCCCTCATCCTTTCCGCGCGCCAGAGAGACAGGCCAGGCTTCAGCAGCCCGCCCTCCCTCGGCAACTGCAAAAGGGTGTGGCTGCGCCAGGGTGCGGTTTGCGATCGGCGCCGCTGGGGCCTGGGGGCGCGACGCTGTCCCCGTCGGGCCTCCTCGGGGCGCGGCGGGGAACTCTATCGATGTTCCCGCCCGCCCCCCCAGGGTGCCCCCCGGGTGCCAGCTTTATGATGTTCCAACCTACTTTAGCCTTGACCACCAGAAAGAGTCTCGAGCACCAGGGAAGTACCGAAGCTCGAGGGTTTTCGCGCGTCGGGTCCTGGGAGGCGACACTCGCTCGACACTGTTTCCATACTCTTCTGGGTGGTCGAAATTATTTTTGGGATTTGGTCTTTAATTGCACCAGAGACGGCACCAATCAGTGGATGGTTTTCGTACCAAAATCGTCGGGAAGCTTTCGCCAAATCCTTCAATTTCCGCTGGGACCTCTTCAGTGCGAGCACTGATTGGGGAAGTACGACGGGGGCAACGTAATGCCAGTTGCCCCTTCGGAGTCGCAGACGCCCGCGCTCCAGGCGGCCCCGTCCCTCCCCCGGGCGCGGCCAGGCGGCGAGATCAGCGTGCCCCGCTTCACGCTCACGCAGCTCCTGCCGCTGAGGCTTCTCGCGCGCGCGGGGGCCCTTCGATCCTCGGGCGGATGGCGGGGGCGCGGAGACGTTCGGGATTATGATGTTCCAACCTATTCGAGCCTCGGTTACCAGAAAGAATTTCGAGCACCAAGAAAGCACCAGATTTTGAAGGTTTCCACGTGTCGGGCCCTGCCAGGCGACACTCGTTCGACACTGTCTCGGCACTTCTCTGGGTGCTCGAAATTATTTCTGGGATGTGGTCCTTAAGTACGATGGGAGCAACATAAGTCTAGGACGAGAGAGGGCGGAGGCTCCTTGGCATATGCGGCCTCCAGGGGGGCCGTTTCTGGGCTCCGCAACGGTGGAGAAACAGTCCAGGTTGAGCAAGCGTTCCCGGAAAGGGTTCGTGAGCTCTGGGGCCCGTGGTGGAACAAGTCAGCGCATCGGAGGCTTGGCGTTTGGCTGGGGAGGGGGGGATTAGGGGGATGGACAACATGGCCGCGGCCGTGATGTGCTTACCCTCTTTTATCCTGGTACCCCCTCTTCCGCGTACCCGAGGTGATGGGGTGGGTAAGGTCAAGGGGGGAGGAGTATCGAGGCTCGAGGATCGACTACCGAGGATGTTGGAGGCTTGTCGTTTGCAAAGCTGGATGCTACTTCGAAGTTCTATTCAAAACACACCCCAGGAGAGGTCCAGGAATCGATCTTTGCGTTTGAGCGTGAGGGTGAGGAGGAGGGCAGAGGAGGCAGAGGAGGCGAATGTTGAGGAGAATGACGCGGATGAGGAGAAGCAAGGGCGGAACCTATAGAGGGATGACAGCAGAGAAGAAACCATGGCAGGAGGAGGCTTAGGAGGCTGAGGGGAATGATAATGTGATGGGGAGGATAATTATGCTGCTGATGATGATGACGGCGACGACGACGATGACCCTGATGATGATGAAGATCTTGACGATGATAACGGTGATGATGATGATGATGATGATGATGATGATGATGATGATGATGATGATGATGATGATGATGATCATGATGATGCTGATAATGATGATGCTGATGATGAGGATGATGATGATGCTGATGATGATAGATGCTGCTGATGCTGCTGCTGATGATGATGCTGAGGATGATGATGAGGATGATGGTAATGGGAAGATAGAGAGTGCAGATGATGATTATTATGAGGAGGAGTAGGAGTAGTAAACAACAGTATCATCATCAGTACCATCATGCTCATAAGTATGTGGGCGTTTTTTTATTCGTTGTTTTGCCGGTCGGCGCCGGCCCTCGCACCCCCCCCCTCCCCCTCCCCATGGAGTAGATCTTGGCTGTTTCTGGCGCCTATTTCGAGCAGGTGGAGTCCCCCCCCATCGGCCGCACTGCTGCGAACAGTCGCACTAAGCAGCGGTCCGGATCCAGACCCCCCCCCCTCCCTCCCTTTTCGCCCAATGTCGGAACGCCGAGTAAAAGAACGCTCACTATTATCATCGGATGTTGGGGGGTGAGATCGCAGTGGAACGGAGACCCCGAACCAGGAAATCGTTTCGTTTCGTTCGTGTCGTGCGTGCGGGCGAGGCGAAGTTGCGTGGGCGCGCGAGAGGAATGAACCCGCCGTTGCTAGGGCGAAGTCCAGACAAATGATTCTCCCTCTCCCGCCCGTCCGGCGGTGGCCGGCGGTGGCCCGCTGTGTCCCGCGGTGTCTCGTGGTGTCCCGTGGTGTCCGCCGCTGCTGGGGCGACGTCAAGACAAATGATTCTCCCCGCCCGCCCGTCCGGCGGTGGCTCGTGGTGTCCCGCGGTGCCCTGTGGTGTCCCGTGGTGTCTCGTGGTGCCCCGTGGTGTCCCGTTGAGTGAGATCGATAGTGGGATCGATAGTGAGATCGATACGGAGATCGATACTGATATCGATGTGGTGCCCCGAGGTGTCCCGTGGTGTTCCGTGGTGTCCCAAAAAGTGAAATCGCTAGTGAGATCGATAGTTAGATCGACATGTGTCCCGTGGTGTCCCGTGGTGTCCCGTTGAGTGAGATCGATAGTGAGATCGATAGTGAGATCGATAGTGAGATCGATGTGGTGCCCCGAGGTGTTCCACGGTGCCCCGTGGTGTCCTATGTTGTCCCGTTGAGTGAGATCGATAGTGAGATCGATAGTGAGACCGATAGTGAGATCGAGAGGTATCCCGTGGTGTCCCGTGGTGGCCCGTGGTGTCCCGTGGTGTCCCGTTGAGTGAGATCGATAGTGAGATCGAGAGTGAGATCGACATGTGTCCCGTGGTGTCCCGTGGTGTCCCGTGGTGTCCCGTTGAGTGAGATCGATAGTGAGATCGAGTGAGCCAGATGTTGGTTCCCCCCATTCTCCCCCCCCCACAACCTTCTTATCACCCGAAGGGTGGCCGTATAGGTCATCATCATCATCATCATCGTCGTCCTCCTCCTCATCGTCATCCTCATCCTTATCATTATCCTGGTTATCATTATCAGCATCATCATCATCCTCATCCTCATCATCTTGATCGGGACGTTGAGGAAAACATCGTCTCAGCGATTATGTCTTTTCGCGCGAGTTGTCGGTTGAACAGCTGCGTTTTGTAGCGCGAGTTGAATGTCCGCCACAGCTCCAAGTGAAGAAGAGATTGGCGTCAGCTGTGGAAGCATGTGGTCCGCTCCCTTCTTCCCCTCGAAACACTGATGAGGATGATGATGATGGTGATGATGATAATGATGCTGATGATGATGATGGTGACAACGACGACGACGATGACGATGGCGTCGTTCATGGCGCTTGTGATGATGCTGGTGGTGGTGAGAACGACGTTGCCGTCGACGACGTCCACGATGATGAGGATGATGATGATGCTGATGATGATGATGATGATGATGATGGTCATGCTGCTCCTGCTGATGACGAGACGGGGTGGTGCCTGAGAACGCTGAGACCGCGGACGAGAGGGATTACTCAGAGCCAGATGATGGTGAGACGGACCACGACACCGAGCAAGGGTGAGATGGTCACACCTGCGACAAGGACGAATCTTATTCCGATGGTGATGGTGACGGTGATGATGATGCTGATGCTACTGATGATGATGATGATGATGATGATGGTGATGATGATGATGATGCTGTTGATAATGATGGTGGTGATAATGATGATGATGCTGCTGCTGATGATGCTGATGATGATGGTCATGCTGCTCCTGCTGATGACGAGACGGAGGGTTGTTTGAGAAGGCTGAGACAGCGGACGAGAGGGATTACTCTGAGCCAGATGATGGTGAGAAGGACCACGAAACCGAGCAAGTGTGAGATGATCACCCAAATGATTGATATGCAAGCTGCGACAAGGATGAAGATGATGCCCTTGGTGATGATGCCCATGGTGATGATGCTCATGGTGATGATGATGAGAATGCTGCTACTGATGATGATGATGGTGGTGGTGATGCTGATGTTGCTGATTATGATGCTGACGACGACCATTATGCTGCTGCTGATGATGGTACTGTTGGTGTGGATGACGGGCATGATGATGAGGATGAGGATGAGGGTCAGGACGATGATGACGATGATGATGACGATGATGATGATGACGACGATGATGATGATGACGATTATGATGATGATGATGATGACGATGATGATGCTGATGATGATGATGATGCTGATGATGATGATGATGATGATGTTGACGGTGATAATGCTACTCATGAGACTGATGATGCTGATGATGATGCTGATGATGGTAATGGTCACGATTCTGATGATGATGATGCTGCTGATGATGATGATGCTGATGATGATGATGATGCTGCTGATGATGATGATGATGCTGATGCTGATGATGCTGCTGCTGATGATGCTGATGATGATAATGATGATGATGATGATGATGATGATGATGATGATGATGATGATGATGAAGATGATGATGATGATGATGATGATGATGATGATGATGATGATGATGATGATGATGATGATGATGATGATGATGATGATGATGATGATGATGATGATGATGATGATGATGATGATGGTGTTGATGATGATGATGATGATGATGATGATGATGATGATGATGATGATGCTGATGCTGATGCTGATGCTGATGCTGATGCTGATGATAGTGATGACGAGGGGGAGGAGGAGGCGGAGAGGGCCGAGGAGGATGAAGAGAAGGAGCAGTGGGCATCCGTTGGGGACGATGGCGCAGCATGGCATACGATGGTTGAGGATGAGGAGGATTAGGAGGAACACGAAAAGTATAATGTGGACCAGGTGGAGACGGACCAGGAGAGGAAGAGAACAAGGAGGGTGAGGGCCATATGCGGTACCCATCCCCCCGCACTCGCCTGCGCGAGCGCTGCGCGCCCAGCGGGCCGGCCTCACCCCCAAAACCGCGGCCACGGTCAGGGGGCGCCGCCATGGCATGAAGGTGGTCAACCACCACGTGTAGAATTATGAGGCGGAGACTTTCAACAGATCGAAGGGCTACGAGGTAGCTGCCCACCTTGGCACCTTGGCGATGACCTACCGGCATGTATGCCGAGACCATGCACGCATAGAGGAACGCGGGCGCGAACACACGCGGCCCGAAAACGAGACGGGTACACCGTCCGACATGGGGCACCTATTCGATCCGGCGACAAGATGATCATTGCTACGACCGCCCTCACGAGGACGTCCAGGCAGCACGAGCTGCGTAACAGGCGACCGAAGTACGACAAAAAACTGCGTAGCAGGCGGCCCAAGTACGATAATGAGCTGCGTAACAGGCAGCCCGAGGACGAAAACCACCACCATCGCGACACCAAGTACGCCACCCAAATCGACGCTAAGAACGACGCGCCCGAACAGCCCGACGGGGTTGCGAAGCACGTCGTTGTGGGCAACGTCCCCGCCGCCCACGACGAGAACGACTACGACGCCTCTGACGACTACTACGCCTCTGACTACGACTACGGCTTCCTCAATGTGCCACCTGAGCTGCGAGGGCTACGAGCAGAGTTGTGAGCTCCACAAACAGGCCAACCACCGCAACCTGCCACGCGACGTGGGCCACCAGCAGACTTTCCAGGGCAATAATCATAACCTCACAACCACCCTTTGCTATACGAGGCCAACAGCAGCGTTTCGAAAACCTCCAGCTCTGACCTCGTAAGCTCCGAGGTCCAGAAGGACGTGCAGGTGGACGTACTCCTCGACTACTTCCTGGGCCAGGTGTGCGAGCGCGAAGAGGCCATGCAAGCTCCGCAGCGAGGGTCAGCAGAGCTCCGACGACCAGCAAAACTACGACCCCCTCCTAGAGGAACTTCCATGCCAACTAGCCGAACTACGCACAACGAACTACGAGCCCTAAATGTTTTAAACTAGTCGCCACAGGGGTTCGAGAACCACAGGCAAAACTACGAGTTCCATCGGCTGAGCTACGAGAGCGGCAAGCAGGGCTACGAGGGCCACAAGCAGAACAATTACAACCGCCAGCAGGGGTAGCAGGACCACCAGCGCAGTCTCGAATACCACAAGTTGAACTACGAGGATCATAGGCCCAACCACGAGAGCCACCTCCAGCGCTACGGGGACCGCAGGCTCAATTACGAGGGCCACAAGCAGGGGTAAGTACGAGGACCACCAGCTGATCCACAAGGGCCGAACGATCAGCCACAAGGGCCACGAGCAGGGCAACGAGAACCACCAGCTTTGCCAGGAGGGCCACCATCTGAGCTACGAGAGCCAAGCAGAGCTACTGGAGGCAGAAGCTGGTTTGCGAGAGCCACCTTAAAGGTTACCAGGGCCACCGATTCAATTGCGAAAGCCACCAGCAACGCTACCGGGGTCACAGGCTGACCCGCGATAACCTCCACCTCAGCTACGAGGGCTACCAGCTGAACAACGAGGACCTCGAGCCGGTTTGCATGGGCCACGCGCGCTGCTACGAGAACCACCGGCTGAGCTGTGAGAGCCACCAGCTGAGCGTTGAGGGTCTCGAGGAGAGCAGCGCGGGAATCAATCGAGCTACAAGAGTCTCCAGGCCGCCAGCAGACCTGCGAGTGCCACTGGCTGAACTACAAGAGTTCCGAGCAGAGCCTCGGGAGTTTCCAGCGAACCTACCTGGATCGCCTGATGAGCTATGAGGGCAGCAAGCTCAGCTACGAGGGCCGCAGGCGTAGCGCGTAGCCCGGAGAGCCACCGGCTGAGCTACGGGAGCTACCAGCAGAGCTACGAGTGTCACAGGTTGAGCTACTAGAGCCACCCGCTGCGAGGGCCACCAGCGGAGCTGCCAGGGCAGCGTGTTGGCTTGCGAGAGCCTGTGGCAGAGTTCCGGGGGCCATCAGTTGAAAAACGAGGACCGCAAGTTGGACTACAGGGCAACCGGCGTACTTCCGAGGACCGCGAGCTGAGCTAAGAGGACCGCCTGCAGAGCTACGAGAGCCACGCGGAGAGCTACGAGGGCCGCGAGCTCAGCTACGAAGGCCACGTGCATGGCTACGAGGACCACGAGCTGAGCCGTGATGTCCGCGCGAGAGCAGCCGCGCGCGTCTCGTGGGGGTGAAAGCAAGGCTAGCCCTTGACGGGCAAGAGTGGGGGTCCTTCGACCCTTTGACGCACGCTCCGAGGGATGGGTTCCTGCCATGACAGTAACTTGGATATCTACCGGTAATAATCCAAGCAAGGGCTCGGCAAGATGTGCCAACATCGGGCTCAAGCTTTCAGGTGCTCCAACTTGCTGCGCCACGGTTCTTGCGTGTTTGAGCGGATGCACGACTCCGCGTCCGCGGAAGGCCAGCCTGGGAGTTATTTTTCGACGTGTTTCATCCAGACGGCGTGCAACACGGCGTGTAACACGCACGGCGCGAACGTGGCCGCGGCGGTGAGGCCAGCCTGCCTGGGGCTGGGTACAGTACGATGCCATGTGCAACGCTACCGTGTGTCTGTAGTATTCTGCGTGTTGTGATTTATGCAGTCCGGCCAGCTGCTGCTCACTGCTGGCTACGGACGCCCTTCACCCCTGAGGCATGGGCGTTGCTGCCAAAAAAAATCCGAGAAAGAACCCGAGGCAGAGGATGCGCAGAAGGATTGAAGAGTGTGCAGGGGATCGGTGAAGAGTGGATGAGGAAATTGATGGTGGGGGTGGGCGGTGGGGTGGAGTGGGGTGGGGTGGTGTGGTGTGGGATGGGGTGGAGTAGGGTGGTGTGTGTGTGTGTGTGTGTATGGGCGTGTGTGTGTGTGTGTGTGTGTGTGTGTGTGTGTGTTTGTCTCTCTGTGTGTGTGTGTGTGTGTCGGTGTGTGGGTGTATGTGTGGGTGGGTGGGTGGGTGGGTGTGGGGGGTGGGGGGGGTGGAACGGGTTTAGGGGAGGTGGTGGGGGGAAGTGGTAGGTATGGGGCTGGGGGGGGGGGGGGAGCAGGAAACGTCGTGTGGGTGCTGTTGGTGGGCGCAAGGTGGGATTCGTTGGGGGTTTGAGTGCTTGACGATGATGCTGATGATGAAAATGAAGATGATGATGAAGATGAAGCTGAATATGATGATGATGATGATGATGATGATGATGCTGACGATGATGATGATGATGATGATGGTGGTGGTGGTGGTGGTTCCGATGATGATGATGATGATGATGGTGGTGATGATGATGATGATGATGATGATGATGATGCTGATGCTGATGCTGATGATGATGATGATGATGATGATGATGATGATGATGCTGATGCTGATGATGTTGCTAATGATGATGGTGATTGTGCCGGTGGTGGGGGCGATGCTTGTATCAATGTCTGTGGTGTTGCGAGTGCACGGAGGAGGAAGAGAAGGAGGAAGAGGAACGGGACGAGGAATAGGAAGAGGAAGATGATGATGATGATGATGATGAGGAGGAGGAGGAGGAGGAGGAGGAGGAGGAGGAGGAGAGCACTGACATTGATATGTACATGAGAAGTGGGAGCATGGTAAGTAAGATGGGGGGAGGATTTGGTGTTGAGAATCGAGGAGGGCAAGTGATGACGACGATGACGATGACGAGTGCAATGAAGGAGGTTGGTGAAAGTGGTGGTGATGGTATGACGATTACGATGACGAGGACGGTGGTGGTTGGTGCAGGTGGTTCTGATGGCGAAGAGTTGGAAGAGTATGATGGAGAAGAAAAGGGAAGATGATACTGTGGGTGAGGGCGGATCTCTTCCTCCTTCTCCCCCCTCTTCCTCTCCCCTCCTCGTTTCTCTTCTCCACCTCCTCGAACCTCTCCCTCGCCCCCCTCCGCCCCCCTCGGGCCTCCCCCGCCCCTCTCCACCCCCCTTGCCCTTCCGACGCCTCGCCCCCGCCCTCCGCCTCCGCCTCCGCCTTTCCTCCTCCTCCTCCTCCTCCTCCTCCTCCTCGCCCTTCCTTCCTCCTCCTTCCTCCTTCCTCCTTCCTCTTTCCTCCTCCTCCTCCTCCTCCGCCCTCCTCCTCCTCCATCCTCCTCCCTCCTCCTCCCTCCTGGCACGGCGGAGTCTGGGTGCGCGCCCCCCCCCTTGCGCGCGCGGAAGAGGCCGCTGCACGAGGCACTCGGGAGCGTGGCCGCCCGGGTGCGCGCCCGGGAACCCGAGAAGGAGGCCGCCGCCGCGCAAGGGGGCGAGAGGGGGGGGGGGGGAGGGGAAGGCGGCGGGGGGCGGGGAAGGGCGGGGGGTGGAGGGGAAGGTGGAGGGGAAGGGCGGGAGGTGGAGGGGAAGGTGAAGGGGAGGTGAAGGGGGAGGTGGAGGGGAGGTGGCGAGGGGAGGTGTAGGGGAGGGGGAGAGGAAGGTAGAGGGGAAGGTGGCGAGGGGAGGCGGAGAGGAAGGCGGCGGGGGGCTGGGAAGGGCAGGAGAGCGCTGATGATGATGATGATGATGATGATGATGATGATGATGATGATGATGATGATGCTGATGATGATGATGATGATGATGATGATGATGACGGTGGTGGTGGTGGTGGTGATGATGATGATGCTGATGATGCTGCTGATGCTGATGCTGATGATGATGATGATGGTGATGATGATGATGAAGATGATGCTGCTGATGATGATGATGCTGATGATGTTGATGATGATGATGCTGCTGATGATGATCATGATGATGATGACGACGACGATGATGATGATGATGATGATGCTGATGATAATGTTGTTGGTGATGGTACTGACGCTGACGACGACGGCGGCGACGACGACGATGCCAATGATGATGATGATGATGATGATGATGAAGATGATGATGCTGATGATGATGATGATGATGATGATGATGATGATGATGCTGATGCTGATGATGATGATGATGATGATGATGATGATGATGCTGATGATGATGACGATGACGACGATGATGATGCAGATGATGATGATGCTGATGATGATAAGAATGATGATGCTGACGATGCTGATGGTGGTGGTGATGATGATGGTGATGACGATGTTGATGATGATGCTGCTGATGCTGATGCTGAAAGTTGTGTTTTTGTTGTGGTCGTCATCGTCATCGTTGTTGCTGTTAGTGTTCATGATGACGATGATGATACTGCTCCTGATGTTGAGACTGATGATGCTGATGTTGCTGATGATGGTGATGGTGGTGCTGATGCTGCTGATGATGCTGATGATGGTGGTGATGATGCTGATTCGGCTGACGATGATGCTGCTGATGATGGTGGTGATGATGATGCTGATGAGGGTGGTGGTGGTAGTGGTGATGCCGGCGTTGACGACGGCGACGGCGACGACGACGCCGATGACGATGCTGCTGCCGCTGATGATGAAGATGAATATGCAGATTATGATGATGACGATGATAATGCTGATGCTGATGCTGATGATGATTCTGATGATTATGATGATGATTCTGGTGATGATGATGATGATGATGATGATGACGACGAGGAGGAGTCGGTGGAGGAGGAAGGTGAGGAGGATGAGGACGATGATGACGAGGAGGAGGGCGACGACAAGGAGGAGGAGGACGAGGAGGAGGGGGAGGAAGAGACGGACTATGATGATGGTGGTTGCGAAGTGGTTTTTTTTGTGGTGATGAGGATGAGAAGTAGTAAGGGGGCGGTGGCAGAATGACATAATGAGGGAGAGAAGGCGATGAAGGGGATCGGAGGAGGTGGGTGGATGCGGATGACGTGGGCGAGGAAGAGGCGGATGTGGGGATGAAGAGAAGGATGAAGAGAAGAAGGGTGATGGGAAAGGGTGATTTGACATTGTAGGGGGGAAGAGGAGGACGGGAGCGGGGCAGGATGATGGGGTGTTGCCATCGAAGGGACACGCTGGCCAAACCCAGATCGCCCCTCTGCTTTTGTCTCCTCCTCTCTGTCACGGAGATGGGGGGGGAGGGCATCGACACCACCGCCGTGGCGCTCCAGTGGTGCGTCAGCAAGGCCGCCGCCGCGCGCACAGCCACTTGGTGGGAGGACGCGCGCGAGGCGCGAAGAGGGACGGATGGATGAACGATGAACGATTTAACAGGGGATGATGATGCTGCTGCTGCTGATGATGATGATGATGGTGCTGGTGCTGATGCTGATGCTGATGATGCTGCTGATAATGATGATGATGATGGTTGGTGGTGGTGGCGATGATGGTAATGATCATGGTGATGGTAGTGGTGGTGGTTGCGCTGATGGTGATAGTGATGTTGATGGTGGTGATCATGATGGCGATGCTGCTGCTGCTGATTCTGCTGCTGATGCTGATGATGATGATGATTACTATGATGGAGGTACTGATGAAGAGAAGGTTATTGAGGAGGAATAGGTGTAGGATGATCCTAAGGAGGATGAGGAGGAGGACGAGGATTAGGATGTCCAGGGGGAGGTTGGAAGAGGCCGAGAAGAAAGAGGAGGATGAAGAGGTGAGAGGTGGAGGAGTAGGAGACGATGGAGGAAGGCGGTGGACGATAGCGGTTACGTTGGTGATGCCGATGCTGATTATGGGAACGATGGTGAGGAGGAGGACGATCAGGATGGGCTGAGAGAACGAGAAGTAGATTGGACGTGGAAGCTGACACGATAACGACGATGACGTTCGTGACGATAGTGATGTTGCTGTTGATGGTGATCAGGGTTCCCTTTCGCAAGGGTTCTTTATTCTGGATTTCTTGATTAGGGCGTACTCGCGGTAAACTCCTTACCAAGAAGGAGGCCTTATTCAGTATTCCTTACCAGAGGGATGTTGACTCAGGGTACAAGAGTGCAGGCATCCAGGCGAAGGGGTCCTTGAGAAAAGGCACTTTATTAATTAGGAAGCAGCGGGACACTGCGTATGTTTTTTTCCCCTTGGTATTGGACGGTCCAACGCTTTCCGCGGCTTGCCCCAGCACCCTTTTTTGAGTTTCCGAAGCCAACAAGACCAAACATGTCCAGTGTCGGACGCCTTCGGTGCCACGATCGGTTTGTTTGTTTAGTTTTTGATTGTTTGTATGAGTCCATTATGGGGACTGATACAGCAACATTTCCACTGACATTATTATGTTGTGTTTTTTTTTTTGCGGTCTGGACAGCGGCGAAACACAGTGTGTCTGTTTTTGGGTATGGTTTTTTTTCATTTGAGGCTCAGTGAGGGCATTTTTGGCAGACTGCGGTGACCGCTGGAGCTTTCCAAATCAAGTAAACCAGGACAACCACACTCTCCGATTTTTTCTATCCATCTCTCTCGTTCTCTTTCTCTCTCTGTCTCTGTCTCTCTCTCTCTGTCTCTCTCTCTGTCTGTCTCTCTATCTCTGTTCTCTCTGCCTGTCTCTCTCTCCGTCTCTCTCTCTCTCTCGCCCTATTATTCTATTCAGGCTGCCTCCGTGCGGGGCGCCGCATGCGGCGCGCGCGCGAGGGCGCGAGCCCGCTTGTCGACGTGGGCGAGGAGTCAAACGCAAAGGCGGCCCCGCCGCACCGCCACTGGCTCTTCCCTGGGCTTAACGGAGGGGGGCGGGAAGGAGGGGTGATGATAATGATGATGATACTGATGATGATGATGATGATGATGATGATGATGATGATGATGATGCTGATGATGATGATGATGATGATGATGATGATGATAATGATGATGATTCGATGATGATGATGATTAGATGATGATGATGCTGATGATGATGAGGATGATGATGCTGATCATGATGATGATGATGATGATGATGATGATGATGATGATGATGATGATGAGGATGATGATGATGATGATGATGGTGATGATGATGCTGATGATGTGGATGCTGACGCTGCTACTGATGCTGATGCTGATGCTGATGATGATGATGCTGCTGCTGCTGATGATGATGATGATGATGATGATGATGATGATGATGATGGTGATGGTGATGGTGATGATGACGACGATGACGATGAGGAGGAGGATGAGGGTCAGGAGGAGGAGGAGGAGCAGCAGAAGGAAGAGGAGGCGGAGGAGGAGGCAATCTGGTGAGCAAGAGCCCTCCTCCCGTACTTGCCCACTTCCCCGTGACTCGTCGTACGTTTGAACACCTGACGTCTTCGAGTCGCGTGCTTCTGCACCTCTCGGCTCCGTCCTTCCCGGGAGCTGGCAACCTGATGGCCCGACGACCCCGCCAATATCGGGTCAGCGGCAAATGCGATCGCCAGACATCATGGAGTCTCATGTTTTGCGGAGCTCGGATGTGAGGACGCCTGCAGACTTGCGTTTCCGAGCACACGGGGTGCACAGCACCCGAGCTTGTAGAAATAAGTCGGGCCTGTCCCTCTACAGGGGGAATATTCGGAAATAGCAGAAAAATAGTGTGGGGACGATTTTTCGGTTTTTGTTGGAATGTATTTCATTTTTTGTTTTGAGTATTTTATGCTCGTCCAAAATCCGCCTGTCGGAAGACATGTCCGACCTAAATGTAGCAACGCGTCGGAAGCCTGAGACTCACAGGACCCAGGCTGCACACCAGAACTGCAGAAGACCACGGCTGGCCTCTGTTGTTTGTGAACAAACTGCGCTCACTTGAGAACCCTACTCCAAATCCCTAATTAATCGACCCCCTCCATGAAAAACTGGACCCCCTCCAAACGCTACCTAGTATTCTGGACCCCCCTCTTCGACGGGGCGCCTTAATGAACCGGACTCCCTAAACTCCAATCCAAAGAAAGCGCCCCAATGAACCGCACCCCCCCAAGTACAAAAAAGGCGCCCTAAAAAACCGGACCCGGGGGACGCTTAATTAGGGATTTGGAGTGCCCTTGCTGGTCCACTCGGCGCTGGGGCATCGGACACCCCAGCTGGGGTTCACTGGGCTGCAGATATCCTTCGAAGTCTGAGCCCCAGCCGGTGTTTCAGAAATTTGATTTGCAGAGGCAGGGTTTAAATGTGGTCGCCTAAGCAAATGATGGCCCCATGGCCAGACACAGGCCGCGGCCTCTGGGTGCCGCAGCTGCTGCAGCTGGCGAACACACAATTCGAAGAAGCCTGGCCGTACCGCCGAAGAAGTCTCTCTCGCAGGAGGTCACAGGAGGCCTCGGGAGGCTGGCAGAGGCATGAAATAGGGCGATGATATCAATCCATTTCTGCCGCTCCTGGCCGGGACCATCCTGGGCCCAGGATAGGCCTTGCTACTTAGGAGCTGTGGATATGCATAGATCTCGCCGCCCAGTGAAGACGCTCAACGAATGCTCCTCCTTCCCTCCCTCCCTGCCTCCCTGCCTCCCTCCCTCCCCAGGCGGCAACCGCGACGCTGGCACCCGCCTCACTTAAGGCGGACGGCCACTGGGGGTAGGCGTGTCAGACGCTGACCGATGCCACGGCCCGCCCGCCGCCGTCCGACGCCGCTCGTCTGCAGCGGCGGCCGTCGCCGACGCCCGCATGCGAAGCTGCCCCACCTTGGGTGACCCCTCGCCAGAGCTGCGCGGGACCATATCCAAGCGCGCCAGCCTCAGGAGGGACAAAACACACAGACACAATTAATCGTCGATTCCCCAGCACAAATGGGGAAATATGGGAAGTGGAGGGGGAGACAAACACCCAGAAGATATAGGAAAGTATTGGGAATCTTGTTACTTGTGTTTATTTATTTGTGTGTCCCAGGACCCTTTCACAGCCATCGGCAGGCCGCGCCCCCCCTCGAGGCCACTGCTGCCTTTGGACCGCTCCTGCGTGTCGCCGACTCCCTCCCTCCTCTCTCCTCCGACGTTGCAATTTTTTTTAATGCTTCGCGTATCCACAGCAGAATCTGGCTCTGTGCCCCAGTTTGCCTGATTAACGCGCCCTCTGGACTTTTCCTTGCGGGCCGCAGAGCAAAAGTATTCCTAGCAGTTTCAACCCTGGTTGGTTAATCGTGCATCTGCGCGCTCCTGGACCTGGCTCCTGGCAGCTGCAGCCCACACCCCCCTCACGCCGGCCAGCACGCTTATGAGCTGCGTAGGTCGCCGGCCCGTCGGCGTTAGGCAATTCGGCTCTTGCGCGGCCCGCTCGGACCTTACTCTCCGCTGACGCTCTCGCCTGCGGTTGCGACGGAAAAAGTATCCACAGCAGCCAGGTTCTCCCGCCTGTTGGTCGCCGTTGTGTGCAAGGGGTTCGTGGCCGCCTCGGGCACCTTCTTCGGCCTTGGTCGCCTTTTGGTCGCCGTTTGTGTGCCCGCACTGCACCTGCATCCGCGTCCAACTGGACTCCAGTGGTCGTGGTCTCGCTGCTCGTTTGCTAGTTCCCGCGCCGTCTTGGCTACGCTGGGCCCGCTTCCGAGATGGTCGCTGCCCTCCTCATTTTTTGTCCTCTGCTTCGGCGCGGCCCGCCCTAGCTTTGCCCGGCTTTCGACTGGCTTCGCGAGCCCGCGTGCCAAAAGAAAAGTATCCACACCAGCCCATCCACGAACGCTGCCCAGTGGATCGGCCCTTACCGGGGGAGTTTGGCATCAAGTGGGTACTCCGGGGAGCCTCATTGAGTTAGAGGCCTCGTGGATGCCTCTCCGAATCGCTTGGGATGTCTCTGGGGGGGCTTTGGTGGCCGCGGTCTCTCAGGGCTGCCTCTTAGGGGCATCTTGGGGGCTAAAATCGCCTCTTGGCGCCCTCTTGGGGCGCTCTTTGGGCGCTCTTTGGGCGCCATTGGGCGTTCGTGGGGCTGTCTTGGGGCTCTCTTGGGCCTCTGTTGGGCTCCTCTTCGGCCCCTGTTGGGCTGTCTTGGGGCCATTTTGAGGCCTTGGACTGTGGGCCCGTCTTGGAGGGGTCTTGGGGAATCTCGGAGCATATTGGGCGCCATCTTGAGTGACCTCGCGCTATCTTGAGCCATCATTGATGCCATCTTGGGGTGCCGGGGGCCCTCTTGGAACCATTTTGGGCCCTCTGACTCGTCGCCCCCCCCCCCCCCCCCCCCTCCAGACCCAGGGGGAGGGTGCTGCAGCAAAGGGTAAGCCCCTTCCCGGACTCCAGGCGTACCAGATGAGGTCGGAGTACATGGGGTCGCGTCGCATCGCCGATGCATCCAGGATGCATCGCCGATGCGGTTCGGTGTGGAGCCCGATTCTTTCCGCACCAGCGTCGCCGGTGCATCGGCGACGCCGTCGGTACATTGGCCATGAGGCGCGCTCCTCCGAACCCATTTTCTCGGACCCCACCCCCTCGCTAAGGCCTGGGGGTCTGTCTGGAGCTGGGGAAACCGATTCTGGAAGTGGGGGGTCCGATTCTGGAATTGGAGGGCCCCCCCACTAAGGACTGAACTCCAAACCCTAAGCCCTAACCCTCTAAGTAGGAGTCTTCTGTGGACGCCCCCGATCGGAGGATCCCCCCGTGCGTTGGCCAGCCCTGCAGGCCATTTTGGCCCCGGTGGCCGCGCGCCCCCTTCTCCTTCCTTCCCCTCGCCTCCCGTTTCCTCCTCCCGCCTCCCGTTTTCTCCTCCCCTGCCGCCTGTATATTACCTGTTTTTTTCCTCCCCCTCCCCCCTGCCTTCTGGGGCGCTCCTTCCCTCCAATCCTCCACCTCCTCTTCCTCCCCCCCTGTTCTTTTTGTTTCCTTTTCATTGTTATATTTTTTTTCTTCTTTTTCGCTCCTGCAGGCAGTGCAGATCTTGGGGTCGCAGGTGGAGTTCGTCGCCACGATCTTGCTGGCGCTGGCGCGTCAGGCGGACTCATGGGGCGAGGAGCTCGAGCAGGCGAGGGCCGCGTACGCCACAGTGTGGAGGCGTCTGCGCCGCCAGCCAAATCGCCCCAACGCGTTCTGGATCCCAGCCCACAAGGGCGTCAAGGGCTACTTGGAATTGGACTTCCACCCAGTGCTGCACGCGGGCAACACATGGGCGGACTGGTTCGCCAAGCGCGGGGCGATGCAGCACACGGTGGCCCAAGTCTACGTGGACGTCTACGGGATCGAGGTGCAACACTACAAGAAGGTTGTGGCCTACATCGGGTGGGCCATGCAGCGTTGTCCCAGCCCGGCGAGTAGCAGCAGCTTGTGAGGGAGGTGCCGCCGCCACCTGCGGGACCAGCCCCACGCGTGACGGTTGTGGAGCACGTGGTGGTGGACGTGGGTGGCCGTCGTGGGTTACTATGCAGGGGGTGCGGCAGGCGCTCTCGGGCGCGGTCTGGTGCGGCGCTGCAGCAGTTCTTCAAAGCAGCATTCGAGCCGTCGGTGCTGGCGCGCATCAAGGCAGGAACCGAGATCCTCTACTTCGAGGCCCAGGCGTGGGTGGTCTCGGAGACGGGGGCTCAGGCGGTCGAGGCGATGAGCGAGGCCGACGGCGATGGGGGCGACCCGCCGCTTGTGGACGGCAGCCCGTGGTACGACGCCGTCGAGGATGTGCTGGCTCACGATGGCCATCGGCTGCGGCGTGCTGGGCCCGCAGTCTTTTGCGAGTTTTGCGTGGCATGGATGCAGGCGCGGGCTGCGCGTGGTCTGCAGCGTCCCAGCCTGAAAGGTGCGCTGAAGGGGTATGCGGCGCGGGGGGCTGGGCTCGGTCGCCGAACGTTTTGCCGAGACCTGCCCCCTGGTGCACCCGTGCGGTAAATGGCGAGAGGGGCAGGGCTGTGTCGCCAAGTTCAGCTGCGGCTGGTGCTTCCGGTTCTGGTACATTGGTTGGCACGCCTTCTGCGTTGCCCGTGGGCACTCCGAGCGCCGCGGGCCCTCGGGCCGCCGTCGGCGCGAGGCTGGGACAGCGCGCCGTTGCTGGAGAGGCAGCGCGGGCGGGTCCGCAGTTGACTGGAGGGGCGGCGTGTTGGCCTGGGCGAGGCGGGGGGCAGCTCGCTGGGCTGCCCCCGAGCCAGGGGCAGCCGCGCGACCGCTCCTGGGTGCGGCGCCAGACTCGGACGGCGGAGACGGCCAGCCCTCAGTCTGCACAGCTACTGACCCAGGTGGCCGGAGAGGTGCGTTCCTCTGGGCTGGGCCCCCAGGTAGCCAGGGGCGTGCATTCTCCTGGACTGGGTGCGCGACGTGCGAGCGGCAGATGCGTGCGTGGCAGCAGCGAGCCGCAGGAGCTGGGCGGCATCGTGGGGGCCGTGGGCGCCGCTTTGCGACGTGGAGGCGTGGGTGAGTTGCTGGCGTGGCCTAGCGCTTGGCCCCTGCCGCCGCCTCCGCCGCCTCGGCCGTCGGCGCCAGAGCACGGGTGCGAGGTTAGCAGGATGCTGGCGGCGGCATTTGCGCGCGTGGCCTGCGAGGCGGGTGGCAGCGGCGGCGCGCGCGGTGCAGGGGCGGACGGCGGTGGTTGCGGGTCGATCCGCGCGGGAGATCGGCCGGGCGTCGTGCGAACCGCTGATCCTGGAGCGGCTCTCGCCAAGGCCCTCGCGGTCGCGCGGCTTCAGCGGGCCGCGGGTGTTGGGCGGCGTCGCGGGTGCTGAGGGCGACGCCGTGCTGCATGGAGACGAGGGCGCGCTGCTGGCGCGGCCCAGCGTTGGGCGCCAGCCGCCGCAGAAGCCGCCTCAGCCGTCGGCATTTGCGCGCGCGCGTGCGAGGCTAGCAGGCTGCTGGCAGCGGCAGCCGCGCGCGCGGCAGCGGAGCGGCCTCGCGGCCTCCAGTGGCAGGCGCGCCTCGCGCGGCTGCGGCGGCGGGTTGAGGGGCGCGAGGCCAGTCGCGACACGGCCGCCCGCGCCGTGCGGTGCCCGGCGCCCCTGGGGAAGGGCAGGCCGAAGCCTCGGCCCGCGGCGCGCTTCGCCATCTGCGGCCGCAGGCCCGCCGCGGCGGTGGCCGAGAGGCAGCCTGGGGGGGCCGCTGCCGCGAGGGCCGCCCAGGCCCGCCGCCGCGGAGAGGAGGCTCGCGCGGTGGTCGCGTTGGTGGATTGGGGCCGCCCTCGCCGAGGAGCAGCTGGCGGGCGACTGGCGGCGGCGCTGCGTGCCGTGCGCCGAGGCCATGCTGGGCCAGCCGCGGCGGCGTGCGGTCGTGCGCGCGGGGCGCGCCGCGGCGCAGCTGGCCCGCGAGATGTGCGACAGGGCATGGGCGCGTGGCGGGGTCATCCGCGGGGCGTTCAGGCGCCGCCGCCGCGGCCCGTCGTTCTCCCGCGCGTGGGTGGCCGATTCTATGTGGAGGTGCGAGACGCGGGCCCTCCGCCAGTGGCCCTCCTGGCGCGCCATGGATTGGCTGGGCGCCTGGCGAGCGCAGGGGGGCACAGGCGCAAGGCGCTGGCGCGGCCGCCGCAGGCGCGGGGCCCAGCGGCCAGCGACGGGGACCCTGCGGGGGAGGCTGCCGCGGGCTAGCCTGGCGCCGCGGGCGCGGCGGCGCGGCCGCCGTTGGGCGCTGCTGGTCCCAGCAGCGAGGAGGAGGGGGCTGGGTCCGCCCCGCATTCCTCGCCGCCGCCGCCGAGCCCCTCGCCCCCGCTCAGCGGCGAGGAGGGCTAGGCGTCGGCGCCCGCAGCTGTGGCGCGGCCCACCCCGCCTTAGGCGGGCGGTGCCGCGGCGCAGGCGCAGGCGGCGGAACGGCGAGGGGTGGTTCGGCTTGTTTTTCGCCTTCTCTTGAGGGCCGGCGGAGCGCTGTTCGCCAGACGGACGGCGTCCCTCCCCGCGCTCCTGGACTCCTGGACTCTTCCTCCTCCTCTTCCTCGTCCCTTTTCCTTTCCCCTCGTCTCGAGGCTCCCTCTGTCCCCCCCCTCGCGCCAGGCGCGCGCGCCGGGTGAGGGGGCGCCATGGGGGCGTGCGAGGACGACGACTCAGATGACGAGGCCATGCCCTACTTGATCCCCGTGTATCCGAAGCAGGTCTGGGGGGACAAAAGGGCCCGATGCCGCCATTCCTAAGTCGGGCCTGTCCCTCTACAGGAGGAATATTGCAAACAACAATAGTATGGGGACGATTTTTCTAGTATTGTTCGATCCTGTTTGAGTATTTTGGAATACCTTCAATTTTTCGTTCAAAATCCGCCTGTAAGGGGACATGCCCGACCTAGCGCTGTTTCCCCGATCTCTTCCATGGTGCGTTCGGACCGGAGCTTCGAGAAACATCGAATCGTGGTGACGGAGGATCTCCAGGAGCAACGACAGCGGCATATCGGTAGCAAGTCAATGGTGCCTTGCATACCCCCGTAATCCCGTCGAGTGTGTCAGTGTCGATTTGCGTTTGGTCATCGATGAGAAAGCGCCGACCTAGCGTCGCTGAGCGTCGGTTAGCGTCGATTTGCCGTCGCTTAGCGTCGCTCCGCAAGAGCCAACAACATGCCACATAGCAGTGCTACTTCCTCCTCTTCAGGTCGAGTTTACGGTCCAGGTGAGCGGCGATGTCGTCCAGGCCAACGTGGCAGGCGCGCGGCCGCCGCAGTCCTCGACCGAACCCAGTCTGGAGGAGGCGGCCGCGGGCGCCTTGTGGCGGGACACCACGGCCGCGGATGCGCCGCGGGAGCCCATGAAGATCTGCTGGAAGGCCAAGGAGCGGAGTGCGCCAGCCAACCCCACCTCATCTCGTGATGAAGCAAACTGAGGCGTTCCCAAAACAGCCATGCCTTAGAGAATATAAAGAGTTGCCATCTCTTCCGCCGCAGAAGGCGGCGGAAGGGCGGCGGAAGGTCGGCGGAAGTACAACGAGGCCGCCTCCGCCAGCGGAAGCCGGCGGAACTCGGCGGAAGGTGGCGGAAACAAAAATTGCACACCAAGAGATGGAAACGTTTTTGGGTACAGGGTTTCCGAAATCCACTAAGTATTACGGCGGGTGTTCGCGTTTTTTTCCGCTTCGGGGGGCCCTCGCCGGGCCTGGGGACCTTGGAGGAACGACGCATGACGACAAACCAGTCCCGGAGGAAGGGTCCAGACCTCCAAGGTCCACTCGGGCGGGTGGTAATGGGGGGGACCCTCATGTAGGGCCCCCTTTGGAGCCAGAAGGTGCCCGAAAAGGGCCCTGAAGAGCCCCTTTAAGGCCCCTTTAGGGCCCTTTTCTTTACCCAATCTGGTCACCTCCCACTACCACCCGCCTGATCCACGTCATGAAACATTCGCGACGTCGGGGGTCTGGGCCCTGGCCACTGGCCGTGCCTGGGCCCGGGGGCCGTTGCACGCGGCTTCCTGGCGCCGAGCCAGGGGGGCGCATGATGTGCCGATCATGGGCTCAGGTGGGGGCCTCGCCAGGGTCGGCTGTGGGTGTGCAGGTCTGGCGCCCTCCCGAAAAGCAACGTTGTCACCCACACATCCAACACTACAGTACAGGCCCATGCCAAGAAACACCCTGCTTGCCTCCAGGGTGCCCTGGGTTCCTTGGGTTTCGATGGCTTTGCGATGGAAAGCATGACGTTCCCACACCAGACATGAACGGACGCCCTGACGTCTCAGGGTTGGGTTTCTTGTGGAAGGTTTCTTGTGGTCGGGCCGCCACTGAGCGTGTGCGTCGCCCCCAAGAGGGGAGAGACGCGCGCGTCGAGACATTCGTTAAGTGTATGCTCGGTGACCTCGGTGGCGGGCGCCTTGCGGCCAAACCGCTCGGGAAACGATGCATTCGTGAGCGTTTTTTGTACTGATTCTTCTGCCGATGGGCGCGGGCCCTCGCACCTCTCCTGCCCGCCCATGGAGTAGGTCTTGGCTGTTTTTTGGCGCCCGTCTCGAGCAGGTGGAGCCTCCCCCATCATGGACGCCGTGTTGCAAGCAGTCGCACTAAGCAGAGGTCCAGAGCCAGCATCTCCGCCCCCTCCCCCTCCCCTTGCCGCCCAATGTCGAAATGCCGAATACGAACACGCCCACTATAGGATACCCGTACTATCTGTTCGGGTCGGGCGCACGCCTCCGAGGAGGCGACATCGTACAGTGAGCGGCTTGAATAATGAACACTTACTCTTCAAAAGAGGCTTGGTCGTTCCTTAGGCTTGAATGCGTTATTTATCGTTCCTTCTACTTTTTTGTTTGTCGTTCCTTATGCGTTCTTCCTCGGACAAAAAAGGCTTCGTTCCTTATCTATCGTTCCCTAGGTCAGGCCGATGACTGTATGTCCTCGTGCGTCCCCAAAGGGGGCGGGGGACGCGGAGCTCGAGAGCTGGCAGAGCAATCAGGACTGGCAGGGCAGGCTGTCGGACCCCCGGGCCCTCTGCGCGCCGGGTGCCATGCCGCAGCAGGTGCCGGACGGCACCGACCCCTACGAGGAGGAGTTCGGATACCCGAAGTGGCCGGAAGAGATGAAGGAGCCGGGCCTCTCCTCCACCTCCCGCTCCCCCAGACCTTGGTGGGCCCTGGAAACGACAGGGCCGTTTTTTCTTTCCGGTTCCGTTCTGTCGTTTTTCTGCTGGTTCCGACGCTGTTTTTTTACCGGTTCCGTCGCCGTTTTTTTGACCGGTTCCGGCTCCGGTTCCAATCCTGGAGCCGTTTTTGTTGCCGTTTTTGGTCGCCGTTTTTTTGCCGTTTCCATTGTCAAGGGACGTTTTTGGGGAAACGGTGAAAAAACGGCTCTGCCGTCCCCAGAGCCCCTCGCATCGTGAGAAAAGCTTAGGGGGCATTTTGTTTGCCATCTTCGGCGACCTCTGGGGGCCCCTGCTGGGCCTTGGGACCATCAGACAACGACTCAGGATTTCAACGTTGGCCCCTGGGAAGGGATCCAGACTTCTGGGGGTCCATACCATACAACAAAAAACTCAAGACGTCGGGGGTCTGGGTCTGTTGCTCCTCCCGCACTATCTTCCTCCTCCCGCATGTTCCTCCCCCTTCCCTCCTCCCCCTCGCCTGTCCTCCCTCCTCCCCCTTCTCCTCGCCCTTCCCCCCCCTCCTCCTCTCCCTCCTCTTCCTCCTCTTCCTTAGCCTGTTCCTGCTGCTGCTCCTCCCCGAAGGACCCAGACTATTGGCGGGAGGAGTTTAGGAGGATGCAGACGGACCCGAGGCACAACCCGAACCTCGGCAGGAGCATGCAGCACCCTGACTTTTGGAACGAGGCGGTGCGCAGACCTTGGGCGAAGGTGCTGCTGCGCAGGGAGCAGTTCTGGACTGATCGCAAGAGCGCCTGGCTGGGCCAGTTGGAGACGATCAGCAGGAGCAACAGGGCTCGCGAGGTGGCCATCGAGTGCTTGGAAAACTGCCCCGCCGACGTCAAGAGGCTGGTGATGCCCGTTCTTAGGTACAAGATCGTAGAGTCGATGGTCCTCGGCCTGTTGGAAGAGGCACAGGAGACGGGCGTACCCTTCGAGGACCTCATCCAGCGGGAGGAGACGATCAGGGAGCTGCGTGCTGCCCGCCACCGCCTCGACGACGGCGGCGCCGAGGAGGCGGCGCGCATGCTGCACGACCTGGACGCGCTGTCAGCCAGGGCGGGCCAGATGCTGGAGGCCCAGCGGAAGGAGTCGAGGAAGAAAGATCGGCTTCATACACAAGCATTCGGAGCTCAGCGCGGATTCATTGGATCTGCGCTGGGCCCCCCTTGGTCCACCGCGCGGACCTCCGACATTTCTGCTGGACTGTGCTGATGTTTCTTGCCCGGAGGAGGAGGAGAGGGAGAGGGGCCGGGTCCTGATAGACATTCTGGAGGCAGGACAGGGGTATGGTATAAAGGCGTCTGGTCCCAATTTCATGTAATGGGGACTCCGGCGATGCTATTTATCGCAGATAGCATCGACCTTTCCACGATTGGCACCATACCCCTTTATGCCATAGCCTTTTCCTGCCTCCAGAGACATGCAGGGGCTGAAGATCGCGCTGGACTTCGGGCAGAAGGCCAAGAGGGACGGCCTGCTGGAGTGGCAGCAGGGCCGCGCGGAGGAGGCCCTGGCGAGCTGGCGGCAGGGCGACGACGCGCTGCGCCGCTTCCGGCCGCCCCGGCGCTGCACCCGCGAGGCCGAGATGCTGGCGTCACTGCAGGGCGCGCTGCTGCGGAACCTGTCGCAGGCCGCGCTGCGGCTGGAGCTGATGGGCCTGTTTTCCACCACCACCATATGTTGGAGGGGGAGGGGGTCCTCCTCCTCCTCCTCGTCTCCTCCTCCTCGTCCTGCTCCTCCTCGTCCTCCTCCTTCCCCCCTCCTTCTGGTGATGGTGGTGGAGAACAGGCCCACCAGGAGCGCTGGGGCGAGGCGCTGGAGGCGGCGGAGCGGGCACTGGAGCTGGACCCCGAGGACCACAAGGCCTGGTTCCGGAGGGCCTGCGCCCTGGAGGGCCTCAGCGACTTCGGCGGCGCCCGGGAGTGCCTGCGCTGCGTGGAGGAGCTCGCCGTGGGGCGGGGCGACCGCCCGAGGCTGGAGCGCGACTGCCGCAGGAAGCGAAGAAGAACAAACAATGCCACAAACATAAAGCTTTTGGCGCTCCGCGCGGATTTACTGGAATCCGCGCTGCCCCCCACCCCCCCCTGGCGGCGCCTCCAGCGCCGCCCCTGACGCGCTCCGCGCGCCAGGGAGGGGGTCCAGCGCAGATCCAAGAAATCCGCGCGGAGCGCCAAACGTTTACATTTGTGGCGTTTTTTCTCCTTTTGAGGAAGCGGGAGCGCTTCCGGGCGCTGGAGGCGCACAGCCGTGCGGAGCACGGCAGGATGCTGCGGCGCGGCTGCCGGCTGGGCGTGTTCGGCAGCGGCAGGGCGGAGCTGCAGGCGGGCGCCACGGCGGCGCCGCCAGTGGCCGCGGTGGCCGAGGGCGGGCGCGGTGCTCAGTATCGTTTAACCGACCCCCATCCCCATCCTCATCCCCTTCGAGACCCCCACCAAATCACCACCCCAGTTGGAGGTACACCCCTCGAGACCCGAAGGGAACGGCCTACTACATCCCCATCTAGGGGGGTAAATCGGCCAGTGGGGCCCAGGCCACGCCGCTGGGGATGGGGGTCGGTGAAACGGTAGTCAGGTGCCCCGCGCTCGCGGAGAAGCCTGGCCGCAGTCGCCGTGTCGCCGACAGCGTTGCCCGCTGCGTCTGTCCCGCCTGCAGCGCCGCCGGTCCCGTCGCCGGCATTTAGGGGAGCTGAAGCCGCAGCGATCGTGGTATCATCGTGGGCAACGTGAGGGGGGGAGAGGCGCATGGGGGGGAGCGCGTCGACCACCAATCGCCCACCGATCGCCGACAGGGGCCCGATAGCCCACCCCACCCAGGAAAGTGCGGATTCGCCATCGGGGGCCTATCGCCGATCTGTCCGCCATGTATCGCTGATTCCATGTAGATGTTTCCGTAGTTGAGCCAGTTCCCCTTGCCGTTGCCCTCAATACCGATGGCGGTATTCGGCCTCATCAAGGGCCCATCGCTGCGTACCCAAATTGCGGCCCATCGGTTCATGCTGTCACGGTCCATGGCTCCTTGAACGATGTTGCTCCATGCGGTGCGTCTTTGATGACTCCTTATTGATCTTCTTCTTTCCCTCCCCGCACGGGGGCCGCGAGCCTCACTGTTCCTGTGGTTTATAGGGAATCGGTTTCGTGTCGTGTCGTGCGTGCGGGCGAGGTGAAGTTGCGCGAGGGCGGTGATATGTCCGCCGTTGCTAGGGTCAAACCAGACGGTGACCGGACAACCCCCGGGACATTTTGCGCGGGGATGTCCCGTGGATTGTCGCATGGTTTGTCCCGTAGGTTATCCCGCGTGGTTGTCGCGTGGGTCGTGCTGTAGGTTATCCCGTTGTTATCGCGTGGGTTGTGCCGTGGGTTATCACGTGGGTTGTCCCGTGGCTTGTCCCGTGGCTTGTCCCGTGGGTTGTCATGTGGTTGTCCCGTGGGTTGTCCCGAGGATTGTTCCGAGATTTGTCCCTTGGTTATCCCGCGGTTGTGAATCACCTCCTGTGATGACAAGCACTACAGCTCCTGCGTCGTTGGCCGAGGCTGACCCACTGACTAATCCAACCCACCTTTCTCTCACTGTTTTCATGGGCACCAAGTTCCAGGCGGGAAATTATCCATACCCACCGCTTGGGAAACCGATCTCCCTTGCGGTGGATATGGGTACAAGCTTCACATGCGGTGGACAAGGATACATCGAATGGCCTTCGCCCTATCCCGCCACCGTGCCTTACCTGAGGGTATGGAGCCTATTGGATGTTCGTTGGTATCTCGTGGGAGGCCTCTCGGGAGCCTCTTGGAGGCAGTCTTGAGGCCTCTTGGGGGCAGTTTTGGAGCCTCTTGGGCCTCTTGGGGGCCTCTTTGGGACCTCTTGGGGGCCTCCTGGGGGCCTCTTGGGGGCCTCTTGCCTGGGCGCCTCTGGGGGCCTCCTAGGGGCCTCTTGGGGCAGAAGGCTCGGATTTGTCTTGGGGCCCTCTTGGGAAGTCGTGGGCGCCTCTTGGGCCGTCTTGGGTCCCTCTTGGGGCGTCTCGGGGCCCTTTGGATGCCTCTTGGGCCGTCTTGGGGCGATCTTGGGGGCCTCTCGGGCCGTCTTAGAGCGTCGGGAAGTTGAAAAGGCGAGAAAGCCACAACAACCTAAGGAACATCGATGATTTTTACCTCTTGGCCACCCTCTTGGGAGGCCTCCTGGAGGCCTCTTGGGGCGTCTTGGAGACTTCTTGGACCGTCTGGGGGCCACCTTGAGCGTCTTGGAGCGATCGTTCGGCAACTCGGGGCCCTCTTGGACCGTCTTCGGGGCCTCTTGGGGCCCTCTTGTCCCGTCTTGGGGCCCTCTTGGGTCCGAAACATCCATGCGACAAGATGCGCCGGTGCCCAGGGGGTACGAAGACTGAGGCTTGAGGCTCGAGGGATTAGGCGAAGGACCCGAGGACACGCCCACTCCGTGCCTAGAGGCACGGTGGCGGATATTGTGCTGTATACATCGTGCAAGCTATGTGGTGCAATGCATGTGAGCCATCGAGTGGTCCCTGGCCCATCCGTTCATCTTGCCTGGCTCGGGGACAGGCGGCCTTTTAGAAGCTTCCAGGGGTCGCTTGGGAAGTCTCTCGGGGGTATTTTCGAGGCATGTTTGGGCGCCCTCAGAGGTCTCTTGGGAGCCTCTTGTGGCATCTCGGGGGCGTTTTGGGGGCCTCTTGGGGCTGCTTCTTAGGGGGTCTGCTGGCTTTCTCGGGGGTCATCTTTCGAGCAAGTGCTCGTAATGTCAGTTCGGGTTGCCCCTCTTGGCTCCTGGGCCACTCTCGGGGCCCAAGAGGGGCCTCTGGGGCGTCTCCTGGATTGTATTGGGGACCTCTTGGGGGCCTCTTGGGCCGTCGGGGCAATGTTGACATGCTTTTGTGCAGTCTTGCAGCGTTGGAGTCCCGAACAGGCGAGCACGTTTTTTCTCAAGCTATAGGGGATCGATGATTTGGGCCTCTTGGGGGTCGTCCTTGGGGTCCTTTTAGAGCCCTCGTGGGGCGTCTTGGGAGCCTCCTTGGGCCGTCTTCAGTCAGTCTTGCGCATCTTGGAATGCTCTTGGGCCGTCTCGGGGCCCTCCTGGACCGTCTTGGAAGTCTCTGGGGACCCTCTTGGCCCGTCTTGGCTGTCTGTGGCCTCAGGCCCAGTCACGCGAGGACGCGCGACAAGCCCTGGGGATTGGGGCTCTGGGCCCCTTTGAAAAGTATTGGCAAAAGTCGATGCTGAGGATTGAGGGCTCTTAGGATCTGAGGACCCTTCATTTCGTGCCTCGAGGCACGGTGGCGGATGTGCTCGCTTTCGTGCGTGGTGTAGCCTGCATATGTGTGTATATGCACACGTATAGATGCTCGCCAGCGTGGATCTCTAAATCGTAAGTTCTGGCATACTAGGTGGTGCAACCAATGTGATGCATTAGATATGACGCAATCTAGGTGTCTTAAGTTATGCGATGCAGTCTACGTTGTGCAAACTATGTTGTGTAAGCTATGTGGTGCAATATGCGCGATGTGCAGTCTAAGGTGTGCTCTGTTTTCGTTGCACTCTATGTGATGCAAGCTCGTTGGTGCAATCTTTGTGGGGCTAACGTGCGCATCTGTGTGGTGTGAGCTATTTGGTGTAGCCTATGTGGTTTGAGGTATGTGGGCCGATCTATGGGGTGTGAGCCATGTAGTGCAATCTATGCGGTGCAATCCATGTGGTGTGCGCTATGAAGTGCAGTATGTGGCGTGCAATCTAGGGGTTGTAATCAATGTGGTCTAAACTAGATTGTGCAATACATGGTAAGGCACATATGTTGTGTACGCTACGTGGTGTGGAATATGCAATGCTATGCAATATATAGATGGTGCAATAGGTATGGTACAACATATGTGGTGTAAGGTATGATGCACAGCCACTACGACACAATATAGGTGGTGTAAGCTATGCGGTGCAATCTGTGCGCTGTGGGCCACACGTTCGAAGTTTTGTAGAGCTACGTGGTGGACGATATGTCGTGCAATGTCTGTGGTGCAACCTATGTGCTGTAAGCTATGTTGTGCAAGCTAGGTGGTGCAATTAGGTTCGAAACACTTCTGAGTTGCCAATTCCACTGCTCGTGTAATCATCGCACCCACCCGCCCGCAATTTGGTGAGCTGCGATAACTGCTTGGAGCTGGCTGGCGCATTTTTGTGGCGGCGCAGGCTCGCGCGCAGAGCGTCCAGGTAGTTTGGCACAACCGACGCGGCCGCGGAGGCGCTGACCGATGGGGGTTTTCCAGCACGTCTCGCAGGCCACGCTGGCGCCCGGGCACTCCAGTGCGAGCCGGTGGCTCGGACGGGCGTGGCATCATGGCGGCGTCGACAACGGCAGGCACGATGCTGATAGTAGCGGTGATGGCGGCGATGAGGACGGCAAGGCCACTGACGGCCCCGATGCTGGTCACGCCAATCGCGATGATGGTGCCCACATGTCGCCGCTGAAGGCTTTAGAAAGATTTCGACATGCGCGCGCGGCCGACGCGCGCGAGTGGCCCTCAGCATTGCACTATTCGACAGGAGTCGTGCCCCCCCCCCCGCGAATGCGCCAGAGCTTTCGAGTTATTTCGGCAGAAGCGCGGGAGATGGCCGCATGGTCCCATTGCACGAAGCTTGGTCGGAGCGCGCAGGTTTGTTTGAAGCTGCGTTGCAGATCCATTTGTTTTGTTTGTTGTTGTGCTTGCTGTTGTTGGTGATGCTCATGATGATGTTGTTGTTGTTGCTGTTGTTGGTGTTGTTGTTGTTACTATTGTTGTTGTGTTGTTGTTGGTGTGGTTGTTGAACTTTCACCATGGAAGGCTAATTGTTGTTGATCCCCCCTCTGGTAGCATATGTGTTTTTTAATTGAAGTGCCCTTCTCGAGGCTAGCAGCTTGGTGTTTCACAGAAGAATCTTCCTCATCAAACTGTGCCCCTGGCCCCTGGTTTACAACAACAGCGGCTCCCGCCTGATATTTCCTCGCAATTTACTAATGAATCGCGCTCTCGCTAGGGACACTTCCTTACAATTTATCCAAGAATCGCTCTCTCGCTTGTGATTTCCTCGCAATGTATTCAGGCGCCACGCCATCGCCATTCAGGAATCGCGCTCTCGCCAGGGGACTTCCTCGTAGTTTAATCCGGAATCGCGCTCTCGCCCGAGATTTCCTTGCGAATTATGTAAGGCTCATTCAATTCGCGTAACACGCGTGCTTTTTTTCTGTTGGGGTGCCCCTTCCGGGGCACGCTGTGTCTTTACAAAGGTATGTCTTCCTGCTGAAACTGCGCCTCTGGCTCCCGGTTCACAACAACAGCAACAACGGCTCCCGCCTGATAAGTCCTTGCAATTTATTGAAGAATCGCGCTCTCGCTAGGGACTTCCTTGAATTGATTGAAGAATCGCGCTCTCGCCTGATACTTCTTCGCAATGTATTCAGGCGTCGCGCTTTCCTCGCAATTGATGCAGCCGCCGCGCCCTCGACACTCAGGACGAAATTATTTTAAGAATCGCGCTGTCGCTCGAGGCCTCCTCGCGATTCATGCAGGACGCGCACTTCAGCAACCCGCCTGCCCGACCTGGCCGCCTGGGCCCGCTTTCTAGGGTCTACCCGCCCGATCTGCCCGTCTGGTTCTGCCACGCGTTTTGTGCTCCTAACCCCCCTCCTGCTAGTCTCTCTC